ATATTATCTGTTGTTTCCAATAACGGTAAACCATAAAATTGTGCTCGCTCTTTTAAATTACCGTAAAGCGCTTCTAATAATGATGAACGTGTTCGCTCCTTTAAAAAAGAAAAAAATGTGAGAATAACTTCCGATAAAAACTTTAAATATTGATTTAGATTTGATTAATAAAATCTAAAACTGCTCTACATTGATGTATTTTCTTCTTTTTGAACGATGAATTTCATTCCGCTTTTTTTAAAATATTATATGAAATCAGTTAGATAATAATTCAATCTTTATTTTTCAATTCGTTGGTGTAAATAACAACAAAGACGGCAAAAAATATTTGAAATTTGTTTTTTCAATAGAATAAGCAAATAATTTTTTTCATCTTTAAATTTAAAACTAAAAGTTTCAATCAAGCTTACAGCAAGTTTAGCAAATTTCGTTGATTTATATGCAGCATTTTCAGCATTGATTAATTTGGTGAGTAGAAAGTTGCGGAATTCTTGACCTTTCCGGAAAATAGATGGTGCCGGAAGAGTAGGTCCAAAAAATGGAACATCATCACGTGCTGTTACAGATACCTGAAAGGAAAAAAGTATGGTATACAAAAAAGAAATAGCAAAAGTTATAGGAAGAAAATTTGAAATGGTAAAAAATCAAATGATATATATGATTTGAAATTTTGATTGAGCAAGTTCAAAACTTTTTAAGATTAAAAAAAATTTTGAACAGATGAACTTACACGATAGCGAACTTTTTCAGTGCATGGGTCAATAGGCTGAACAACGATAAAAGCATGTAAGAAATTACTCGCTATCATATCAGCAGAAAATGGCGTATTCTCTTCCTGAAATCGACTTTTAAATATCATTAAATCATTAATACTTATTATTTGTTATTTTTAAAAAATTAGCTTTTAACTGCTAAATAATAATTTAAATGCATAAAAGTTCATTAATTCGACTTATTTTCTTTTTTCTTACTTGGAGTTACTATTAATAATTTGAAAAGCAGATTGCAAAAAGTAACCTGAAAAACGATCGCAACAATATCATTTCCAATATGTCGCTTCCGTTGTAATTGTTGAGTATCACCAGCTGTATACGGTAACATGGTAGATATATGAAACATAATTTCGCGTTGTCGAAATTGACAATAAACTG